ATGGAAGAAAGTTCATGTTACGCATGTAGTGGAATCGTCTGGCTATTATTCCTTCGGTATTCTTAAAACTCATTCAAACATTAAATGCACATTTAAAAGTCCAATGCAAGGTTGCATACGGCAAGTATAACACAGGAAAATTATTTTGAACTCGGTTGGTTAGTTTTACTCTACCAGAAATATTTTCCCCACCTTGCACCAACCGACCATTATCTTTTTCTTTTCGGTAGATGCAAAACGCTTTGATGGGAAAGACTTTCTCTAATGGAAACCAGATTCTTGAAATTGTCAAAAAAAATTTGTCAAATTAAAACCTGTAAAATGTAACTCAAAAGGAAATGAAGACCAGTTTGTTGGACAAAACATTGTAAATAATGATGAAGATATAAGATGATGTAATCTTACTTTATTTTTTGAAGAATAAATTTGATAAACTTTAATGAAAATGATTTATGACTCTACTTAATATTAATTCATTTGAAAACCATAACCAAAAACACGAAAGAAGCTGAAAAAGAAATTGATTGAATTTTATCGATCTGAGGAAATCTATTTCCAACTTATATATATATATATATATATATATATATATATATATATATATATATATTCATCGTCCATGAATGGAAAGAGAATCGCATAATATCAACGGCTGCAAATTCTAAGCGACCAAGAAAGATTTCAATGGTAACTAAAATTACAAGTGGAGTCTAAGTAAACCTGAACCTACCATTTTTTAAAATCATTTCACTCCAAGCAAGGCAATGATGGCGCTAGGTCGCTGGGTGTTAAAGGGGGTGAAGGAGAATGAGAAGACTGAAAATGGAACAACAGGAAATCGATCCTTTACCATAATGTTAAGCGCCGTTATAAGTGGATCATTTGCGGAAATTGACCTATTCAATAACCGTGAAGAGGACTTCATCCAAAGAAGATCACACTGGTGTATGATGGGATAGGCAAGGAATTATCCCTCATAAACTGTTAGACAATAAAAGAACGCTACTCTCTCCTACCAACAACCACTTCGTTTGAAGGCAGCTTTCGGAACAAAATGTCAATCTTTAGTTAACAGAAAAGAAGTAATATCCCATCACCATAATATTCCTCCTCTCACTGCACCATTGCTTAAAAATCTCGTAAACGAATTCGGTTTGAAAATATTACTTCATCGTCCATATTCCCCCGACTTCGCTCTCTCTCTTATTAGCACTCGCTTAGGGGTTTTCATTTGGATGACCTTAGGTTGACATCAAGAGAAGAGATGAAACATGAGTTGGTCTCATGAAAACCTTAAGAATTTTACAAACGTTGCATCTATAAACTTGTTGATAGATTGAATGAGTTTCTAGGAAGCAATATTGATTATTAAATATATCTATAAGCATTATTATCTTCATTTGTAATATGCACCATGAAATCATATAGAATTTTCGCTACAACATGAAACATGTCACAAAGAATTGTAGAAATTTAAACCAACAGGATTTCACGGGCGGATTGCAAGAAAAAGCCACTACTACCCTTAAAAAAAAGATCATTTAGAATTTGCTAAAAGGTTGGTTACCGGAGTTAACTTATTTGGGCAGACGAAACAAACTTTATCTTTTAGGACTTGATCTCAAACGTTACGTCTGGTGAAAAAGAGAACACAATGCACGATGTAAAAATTAACATACGTATATAGATTCTTTTATTTCCATCAAAAAAGTAGAATCGACTGTGATTCTAAAGCAAACAAGTAGTGTTGAAAGAAATATTGGCGCCCAAATAAAAACAAACACAAAAGTAATTTTGGAAGAAACTCGAAGACAAAGAAGAGCGAGGTGAAGTCATCGAAGATTTTGATTAATCCGAAAAACTTGAAGAAGAAGAAGAAGAAGAAGAAGAAGAAGAAGAAGAAGAAGAAGAAGAAGGAGGAGGAGGAGGAGGAGGAGGAGGAGTAAGAGTGGAAGAGATTTTGAAGATCGGATTAGAAAAGAATTTGAAAATTCAGAAGATTTTGAAGAATTTATAACCGAAATCACTTCTCTGTAAGAACGATATGACATTAAATTTTGCGATTTGTTAAGTGTGAACGACGTCTGATTTTGACGCTCTGTAAGCAGACGCCATTACCGAGATGAGCTTTGCAGACATGCAATGGCAGAAGGCGGGAAAATTTAGATTGCAGAAAAGGTGGGAAATGGAGAGGAGTGGGCGGAGAGGAATTTATTGTTAAAAAAATAAGTATCGTGTGAGTACATATAAAGACGAAAGAAAAAGAAAAATGTAACAGCGGGGGAAGGAAAGAAAGAAAGAAAGAAAGAAAGAAAGAAAGAAAGAAAGAAAGAAAGAAAGAAAGAAAGAAAGAAGAAAAATGTAACATCGAGGTTTAAAAGATGAGCAGTAAAAAAATAAGAAAGAAAGAAAGAAAGAAAGAAAGAAAGAAAGAAAGAAAGAGAAAAATGTAACATCGAGGGTAAAAGGTGAGCAGTAAAAAAGAAAGAAAGAAAGAAAGAAAGAAAGAAAGAAAGAAAGAAAGGAAAGGAAAGGAAACGTGTTTGGTAGACAAAACAAATGTATGAATTTTGTCATGATTTGAAGAAAAGAGAAATCAAAAAAGATACATTGACAATGTGAAAAGTCAAGAAATCGAAAATAAAAACAAAATATTGAAAAATTAAAAAAAATAAAGAACAGAAAATTGAAGATGAAAAACTGTGAAAGAAGCCAAATGTGAAACGTTAAATTAAAAAAGAAGAAATGTCAGTGATGAACATGTGATCAAAATGAAGGACGAGACTAAAAGCTTTGAGGTAAGTGGCCTTCGTTTTTCTTGTGTGTCGATCTTAATGGGATTACATTTACAGCTTAAAACACTATTGACACGTTTGAGAAATTGTAAAACTTGTGTGTCATTCAAAGTAAAGTGAACTGGAAAAAAGGAAAGAACGCAGTTTGACTACATCCTTTCAATTTCCTAACATTTTTGCCACTCTCTCTCTCTCTCTCTCTCTACCTTTCTATCTTTCTCTTTTTTCTTATTTCTCAATCTTTCTCTTTTATTCTATATATTCATCTCCATCACCATCTCTCTCTATCTATCTATCTATCTATCTATCTATCTATCTATCTATCTATCTATCTAACTTATTTTCATTTTTATCTATCTATCTATCTATCTATCTCTCTCAATCTTTATCTATTTTATCTTTTTATCTTTTTATATTTTATCTATTTTGTCATTATCATCATCATCATCACCATCTATGTCTGTTCTTATCTATCTATCTATCTATCTATCTATCTATCTATCTATCTATCTATCTATTGTCTGTTCATTATCTATCTATCTATCTATCTATCTATCATCATCTGTTTATTATCTATCTATTCATTATCTATCTATCTATCTATCTATCTATCTATCTATCTATCTATCTATTCATTATCTATCTATCTATCTATCTATCTATCTATCTCTATCTATCTATCTATCAGTGTCTGTTCATTATCTATCTATCTATCTATCTATCTATCTATCTATCATCTATCAGAGTCTGTTCATTATCTATCTATCTATCATTATCTATCTATCTATCTATAGAGTCTGTTCATTATCTATCTATTATCTATCTATCTATCTATCTATCTATCTATCTATCAGAGTCTGTTTTATTATCTATCTATCTATCTATCTATCTATCATCAGGTCTGTTCATTATCTATTATCTATCTTCTATCTATCTATCTATCTATCTATCTATCTATCAGTCTGTTTCATTATCTATCTATCTATCTATCTATCTATCTATCTATCTATCTATTCTATCTATCTATCATCTATCTATTATCTATCTATCAAGTCTGTTCATTATCTATCTATATGCCTCTGTTTTTCATTTTCTATCTATCTATCTATCTATCTATCTCTCATCACATATCTATCTATTATTTCTATCTATCAGAGTTGTTTTATCTTGTTCTCTTTATCATCTCTGTCTCTCTTTATCTATCTATCCTCTAACTATCTATCTGTCAGTCTCCATGCCTTATTTTCACCTTTTCTGTTTTTGGTATCTCACTTTCTTTATTTCTCTCCCTTCTCTGGTGTCACTTTTTCTCCTTTTCTCTCTATCTCCCATACCTCTCTTTATCTCAAGTTATTTTACTTTTTCTCTTTACTCTCTCTCTCTCTCTCTCTCTCTCTCTCTCTCTCTCTCTATCTATCTATCTATCTATCTATCTTTATTACTGGATTTTATCTTTTTTATTACAAATTCTAGTTTCACTTTCTGATTTGCACTTTCTTTACTTTGCTTTCTTTCCTGCAGGGCGTCGCTCTCTCAATCTCTCTCACACTCACTCACTCACTCACTCACTCACTCACTCACTCACTCACTCACTCAGTAATCCATTCATTCACTCACTCACTCTCTCTCTCTCATTCTCCCTCTTTTCATCGTCTATTTTAATTTAATTTTCCATTGATACATTATTCTAATTCCTTCGCCCACTCTGTCTCACTTACTCAGTTTCATTCTTCACCATTACTATTCTCTCTCTCACCATCTGCCTTTCCCTCTCTTTCTCTCTCTCTCTCTATTTATTTATTTTATCTTTATTTTCAGTTAACGTTCTCTTTACTTTTCTAATTCCATCTCTTTTTAAAATTTTTATTGTATTTTTACTGATACTTTATTTTTTTTGTCTCACGTCCTCGTAGCACTATCTCTCTCTCACTCTCTCTCTCTCTCTCTCTCTCTCTCTCTCTCTCTCGCGCGCGCGCGCTGATTTTATTTTATCTCTATTGCCACTTAACCCTTTGAGCCTTGGTTAACGCTTTACCGTAGAGAAAAATGACTTAATGCCTAACAACCGGTTAAACGGTGGGTAAACACTTGTAACTATTTTTATATCTACCATGAATCATTACATACTAATTATTTGCGAATTTTGACTCAGGAGCTCTGGCAAAAGGGTTAAAATTGTTCAGAAATGCTGGGATGAAAAGGTTAATGTTTCTTCCTTTCTATTTTCCATTTTGTCTCTCTCTCTCTCTCTCTCTCTCCCTCCCTCCCTCTCAAACTCTTTCTCTCTATTTCTCTCTCTCTCTCTCTCTCTCTCTCTCTCTCTCTCTCTTAAAATTTACTCTCTTTATTTTCTGTTTTACCCCGTTTCCTCTCAGTGTTATTTGTTCTCTTTTTTCCCATTTGATTATTTTACTGCCTTTCATTTTCTTTCTCTCTTTTTCCTCCTCCTCCTTCTTCTCCTCCTCCTCCTTCTTCTCCTCCTCCTCTCTCTGTATATTTAACTCTTCCTCATGCTGTCACTTTATCTCCTTACTCTCTTTCTCATTTTACACTTTTACTCACTCTCCTCTTCTCTCTTTCTCTTTTATTTTTATCTTTTTATTACCAATTAATTTGCTTTGTACTTTTTCCTATCGATCTACGTTTTTTCCTCTAGATCTCATTTAAACTATCTTCTATCTCTCTCGCTCTCTCTCTCTCTCTCTCTCTCTCTCTCTCTCTCTCTCGTTGTTTTACTCTCAATCTATCTACCTCTGTATCTATCTATCTATCTATCTATCTGTCTATCTATCTATCTGTCTTTTCCTTTGTATAAATCCTTCTCTCTCATTTTTTACAAATAACTTTTTTATCACTTTCCTTTCCTTCTGTCTTTTTATCCTTTTCTGGTTCAACTCATTGTCACTTTATTTCTCTTTCTTTCTCTGCCTTGCTCTCTCTCTCTCTCTCTCTCTCTTTCTTTGTATCTCTCTCTCTATCTCATTATACTCTATCAACAAATTTTCTCTCATCAGCTTTTAATTTTCGATCTTTCACTATTTATTTATATATTTATCTATTTCATTATGGTAGTGTTTATTTTTCTTTCCTTTTCTTTTACTCTCTCTCTCTCTCTCTCTCTCTCTCTCTCTCTCCGTATTCTCTTTCCCTGTTTCATTCTCTTTCCTCCCCAAAGTCATTCACCTCAACCCTACCCAGGTTCTTTCCACTATCTGCTTTATGCCCTAACAAAATTTCGATCCTATGAACCTCAACCCAAATAGGCCCCCTCCACTCTCATAAAACTCCTTCATCCATTCACCATTAAATGCTTGCTTTGCCTGTCAATAAATGTTTGTATTTCAATACATTCCTCAATATCGGCTCAAAACAATAAAGATTTGAAACGAAAAGCTTGACACGTAGTCTAATACTATATTGCAGTTTCAGAAAATTAAATTATTGCAGTTTCAGAAAATTTCAGAAAAATCCTTGTCCTTCTCCAAAAGGGTATCTGACTGCTGTCATGCTCTGTCTTTACAAGAGTCAAATCGAACTAAAAATGCAGTATTGTTGTCGTATTTGGGGAGGGGAGTGTCATATCCTCACTTTGCAGGCTTGACAGACTTCAAAGGCCTTCACGTAGACTTGTGCATGATGAATTATTTTTCAGTAATACAGCTCCCCCCACTCAGACAAAACGTCGCAAACCTATTGCTGTCTCCATAGCAAATGTTCAGACGCGCTACATTATTTAGTTCCACCAGTTCAGAAATTCACTACTAAGACCCGTCATGTCACGTACACAGAAGCGAATCAATTTAATTCCCTTCATATTCCATCGTTTAAGAAGGAAATTCCACTCGAACAGATTTTTACTTTGTGGGCCAGTCTCCCCGATCCAAATCCAAATCTATATCCTGCTCTCGCCTTTTTGAGGAACTCCTCCCTAATTGATCATATCTTCAGGGGTGTAGCTGTAATCACCACACCCGACCAATTGCAGGTTGGTGAATTATTTAATCCATAGTTGGGGAGGATGACCATTGATTCTGAGATCATCCACACTTTAACAGCTTCTGTTTTCTTTGCTTCTGCGTTTCACTGATCAGGTGGGGCAACCCGTTTAGTTGCCAAACATTCGGCCACCCAGGTTTTGAATTGTCCTTCGAGACCGTCTGTCACCCAAAGGCTATAGAACCCTGTGTGCCATACTATCTATCTACCCATAGCTCGTGGTAAAACCATTCTGCCGGAGCTCCTGAGTCAAAATTCGCAAATAATTGTTATGTAATTTTTCACGGTAGATATGAAAATAGTTACAAGTGTTTACCCACCGTTAAACCGGTGTCTGGTCATTAGATCATTTTTCTCTACCACCGTTAAAGCGTTGTTCAGGGCTCAAAGGCTTAACATCTTCAAATCTTCTGTTATCTATCAAACATTTCCTCAAAATGTTTTTCATTACTTTCTCTGCTCACGCCGTTCTTGAAACATGATTCTTTAACTTGAGTGGCTCTTGGGCCTTGTATCATGGAAACAACATTATAAATACAGTGTAACCCGGATATAAGAGAGTTGTCGGGACCGGAGACGAAGTCTCTTATATCCGGGTTTCTCTTATATCCGGGTTTGGTCTATTTTATATACATTAACACAGGCTCTAATTTGGAACCAGAGAAAATCTCTCTTATATCCGGGTTTCTCTTATATCCGGGTCTCTTATATCTGGGTCTCTTATATCCAGGTTACACTGTACATTAAACATACCATACAGTAATTATTTTGGCACGTGCGTGATGTTGAGCCAGTTACTCTCGCAACTAGATTAGTAAGTTCAATCCTTATGAATAGCCTAACGTTTTAGACCTTGTGCCAGACTGAGTTATGTAAACCCAATATGTTTCTTAATTTTTATTTTCTACTTTAATTCGAGCGAACGCAACACCATTAACTAGTGTCTTCCATTCGTCTCTTTCGATGTGATATGAAGAATTGGATATAAGTAGTTTTTCGAGTTGCTTTCACATTGACGTTGTAAGTACTATTCATTATTTTCGTTGTAAATCCGACTACCAATCTTAGTATTCAACTTACTAGAATTAGTTGATTCTTATCCTTCGTCATCGATCACTGCATATCAAGTCAGTGTATCCGTCTATTGATGTTTGCCTATTGCAACTTAAAATCAGCTACCCAACTAATGAAGCTCGGTTGAACCTTCCAGGAGATAAAATTCCCCCTGAATAGCTCATCACATCATAATAGCCTGCCAGCCACTCTACAACGTCAATAAAATTAATCATGAATATAATTGGTGGCAAAATTTCATTATTTAACACTTAAATGTTGAGCTTTATCAATTGATGTTTCACTGAAGATTGGCATCAATTGAGGATTTAAACGTTTTTTCATTCATTATTTGAGTCAAAATTCATTTTCTGAAGTATTGAAAGTACCGAGTCAAACATAGCGCTATATAGGCATGCATATTTCCCGAATAGAAAAACATGAAAATAATGATGCTTCAAGCGTTAAAAAATTATTTTTAAAAATAAATTTAGGCACCAAATATTTGTTTATATTTCCCTTTTGTATTTATTTTTATAATCTTACAGAAATAAAATATCATTTTTTTTATTTTTCGTGTATATAATTACAGCTAGAATAAACAAGAAAAAAATGCCCCTTAAAAATAAATTACATCGTTTTTTGTTTTTTTTTTAACTCGTTTGGAGTGCACGCTCATGCAACCTTTGTTCACGGTTTAGGCATTCTGCAGAAAATACTGCCTCTAATGTAGAAGAGAATTTTTAGAATTAATAACTATTGCATTTTTGGATTTATCATATTCAGACTTTATATTTTTATACACTACGTCTCGAAGAAGTAAACAATTCCTGATTCCAGGCTTAAGAATCTATAAATTATGAGAATCAATTTGTTTGCATTCATTTTTTGCCCTTTGAAAAAATAACGAATCTAGATATTAATGTAATAAAAATTAATTTCAATGTTGTCAGAATATTCTTCATTTATGTGCCGTGTCCCTTCAAGAGGTGGGTGATCAAGGCTCTCCATCATTTCCTACCCTTTATAAATATTTCTATCCTCTCACTAGTCTTCCCAGTCCATGTTCTGACATCGATTTACGCAAGATTAAAGCCTTTTATTAATCCCAATCCCTAGTCAGACATCCATTTGCAGAAGATTATTAGATAGGTTAATCGCCAGTTCCATTTCTTGTGACGATAACAGTCACGCTATTCGTATAATTTTAACCACCAAATGTTGCCACATACAATGATTGTCATTCGTCACTTGATGTGTGTGTTTTTCATTCAGAATTTTAATATTTCCATCAATCATACTCAAGACAACGCTTTACTCTGGGCCCGTAAGTCATTCTTAAGGCTATCTTCATTTTTACAATGTCATTTACACACGTGACAAACAAAGTTTTTTCTGTGTACAATCATGTGATTTTGAGTTCCGCAACAGACCAGCTACAGACCTCGTCACAAAACTCGCCCAAGTAACCTTCAGGTCTTTCTGGTAATGTTGCATTTTCCGCAGATAATTCAAGTGCGTCGGGACAGATTTTATTTCTCCCTTCCTAGCGCTTTTTGTTGGTTTGGTTTGGTTTCTTTTGTTTTACGGTATATCAACCTCAATAGGTTATTTAACACTAACAAGGATCCCACTGCTGGTAATATTCCCCCTTTTCAAAGTGTACTTTTGGCAAATTTTCCCTTAAAAAAATGCACCGCTTGTAAAAATACATTGCTGCTAATTTTTTCGAAAAAGGTATTGCTGGTATTAAAAGCTGTTTTTAAAAGCTATTTTTAAACCTTATAGTGTTTTGACCCCAGTTTCAGTGTTAACTAATTTTCCATAACTGCGACCTTAACAGGTGCTACCACCCCAGCTCATAGTGGACTTGAGAATACCAGCAATTACGATGTGGTTCCACGTTCCTCCAGACTTCCTGATCAGAGGCCTTGCTGCCAGATGTAGTATATCTTCATACCCAGGACGAGTTTTTTTGTTGGAATGCTCAATTCGCTTCTGCTCAAAATTGTTGCAGCGTTCCCAAATCAACTTTCTCCAATCAGATCTATATCCAGCAAATTTCCGAAACAAGTACAGAAGATGAAGCCCAGAAATTGAAAAGATTGATGATTCAGAAAGAATATTTTTTCCAAACAAATATAGATGTAGAAGAATGTTTCATATATCTTCCTGTTATTAATGAGCTGATTGGGACTCGGTCCGCCATTTCTTTCGTGACGTCAAGTTTTTAATCGTCCTGTTAAAAAATGCGCGTCTTAGGCCTTATTCTGGGTGATGGCCGGCATCGATGCTTACATTCCAACAAGGAAATACCAAGTTAATCCGCGTTCATCTCCTTGGTTCTCACCAACAAGCTCTTGCCACTATAACCCACAGAAGTTACTTCTGCCATCCTACAAAACGTATCAGATGTTAACACACACACACACACATATATATATATATATATATATATATATATATATATATATATATATATATATATATATATATATATATATATATTATAAAATGGACAAAGTCCGACACTTATTTTAATGTTTAACATTCTTTTTATAGATACAAATACTTAAGTAAATTGTCTGTTTATAATAAACAGCATTAAACAACATTTACCGGCCTGAATGTCCGAGAAATTTTCATAGAAAATATTCGTCCTCCGACAGGATTCGAAATATATATATATATATTCTCATTCTTTATGTAATTAATTTATACGCTAGTTAGGAACTCTTATTACTGATGTTATGTTGATTTTTTTTCTCTTTGTGTTTATGCATATGCAATTTCATTGGTCCCCTCGAAGTGGTGTAATGGTTAGCAAGCTTGTTTTGCTGGAACAATTACGAGTGAGTAATGAGTTCAATCCTCACTGGGTGCTCCTTACTTTCGGCCTTATGCCATATCCAAGCAACGCTTGAAAAAATCATTATATATTATTCGTTTTTATTGTAACTGAGTGTAAGTGTTAGCAAATATGTCATTTTTTTGTCTTAATGGACAGCTTAAGTGAAAACGTCATGTTAGATATGAAGAAAATTCTGACTTTTCCATGAAGACAAAACAGTTATCTACTTGCAAAATCGATGATAGGCAGAAACTATCAATTTCAAGCAAAAAACAAATAAGATTTGGAAAGTACGTTTTTTGTTTTTTGTTTTTTTGCTTTTTTTTTT